TGCAAGAAGCATTTTGTTTTCCTAATAAATATTAAATATTTGCAGACAATGGAAGACGAGACGGAACTTGCGCTTATAACATTATTTTTATTGATATGGCATGAAATATTAAGCCAACAATACTTCATATTGCACAGAAGGAGTAAATATTATTCTCGGCGGTGGTGGATACGACTTATGAACCGAAAGAAAAACACAAAAGGTTTTTATACTAATTTAGTGAAAGAACTTAAACAAACAGATCACGAAGAATTCTTTTCTTTATTTCAGATGTGGCCGGAACATTTCGATATTCTAGTAGATCTAATACAATTACAGCCTTATTTGATAAAAAGAAGCATTCGAACGCCACTTCCAACTGAACTACGGCTTGCTGTCACATTATCGTAAGTAATAAAGAAGATAAAGATATATTTTATATCTAGAAATAAATGTTAAACATCATATATAGGCTGCGTTCGAGGAGCGCGCTATCAACGCTACTTGTGTCATACTATCCTTGTTTCACATTTAATGGACGATGAAGATAGAATGACACAAATAGCGCTAATAGCGAACCCAGCCATAATATGTTGTTGAAGGTACTTGGCTCAAGGTGATAGTATTAGGTCAAAGCATTTAGAGTATAGGCTTGGAAACTCTACTGTGTATAAAATTATACATGAAACATGCCAAGCATTGTGGTTTGCTTTAAGCCCTATTGTATTAAAAAGCAAAAATCGTTTTGATTGGGAACAGATTAGTAACGAATTTATGATAAAATGGCAATTTCCAAATTGTATAGGAGCGACAGACGGACGTCATATGCGCATACAAGCTCCTCCCAATATAGGATCTTCTTTTTATAATTATAAGCAATTCTTTAGCATAATATTGCTCGCAACGTGTGACACAAATTATAAATTTACTTGGATTGATGTTGGCCAATATGGTAAGTTTATAGAAATTATAATTACTCAAAGACTTATGTAATATACTTTGCAGATGAAAAACGAAATATGGGTTACAGGTTCCATGAGCGATGGCGGTGTATGGACTAATACAGAATTTGCACAAGATTTGCAGAGTACATTTGTAGATCTTCCTACTCCTAAACCACTTCCTGGGATAGATATCCCTTTCCCATATATGTTTGTAGGAGATGAAGCATTTCCATTAACCACTTATCTCATGCGTCCTTATTCTTGTAAAACTAGGGGTAGTTTGACAGAAGAAATGCGAATATTTAATTGCAGATTGTCTCGCTCTCGTCGTACAATAGAAAATACGTTTGGCATCCTTACAGCACGTTGGCAAATCCTACAAAAGCCGCTTTGTATGTCTGTAGAGAACAGTGAAATGCTAATCAAAGCACTTGTGTGTTTACATAATTTTATAATGACTTGTGAAGAGAAAATATCTGTTCGTAAAAGATCCTACTATCCTTCAGAGTATGTTGATCGAGAAGAAAATTATACTATGAAGGAGGGACACTGGAGGCAGCAATATTCAGCTTATTTTACAGATATAGGCAGAATAGGAGCCAATCGAGCAGGAGCTGTACCTGTCGGTTTAAGAAATTACTTAAAAGATTATTTTGTTTCCGATATGGGAAAGTCTCAGGCACCTTGGCAAGAAGAAGCTGCACTTGGAGCTAAAAGAATCAACTTACCTCCAGAATTGATTGAATGATATACTAATTAAAAGTAACTTGATATTAATCAATTATCATTTCTGTAGCAACTTTTTATACATGATTGTTTTCAGGCTAACCAGGATTTTTTAAATACCATGCATAAGTTTGGCAGTTAAAAAAAAATTATTTTTGTCATGGTAATTCTTGATTTTCCATGTCGTAAATGCGTTGAATTCAAATACATTAATAAATAACTTTTATATTTTTTAGTATATAGATATGCATGATCCATATAATATTTTTGAAGATTTAATTTAACTCTATTGATTAAATTTGAAATTTCTTGTAAACTATTTATGATACTTCTATTTAATACATATATTAAACGCACGATAATTGTTCTGTTACTTTTGTTTAAAAAGAAAATTTCTGCAGACATTATTAAATGTATTTTACAGTTAATGAAAACATCTGTTGATTACATATTTATGTTATTTATAGAGTTAATACAAAATTTTAAATCAATATATTCATATTTTAAATCAATATGAACATATTGATTTAAAATTTTTTATTGACTTTTATAAATAATGTCTGATATATATCTTAATATATATTGTATATATTAAAAATTACAAAATAGTGAATTGATACCAGTGTCATAAAGTTATTTGTATCGATCGTCCTCAGTAAAAAGAATGAACCTACCTGCAGAATTGATTGCGTAATGCTAATTAAAATGTTACAGAAATGTAAACTATTAAATAAGTATTATACTTGCACATACATACTTTATATAATATTGCATACATTTTCTTTATTAAAATAATCCTTTCTTTCATACAAATTTTTGGCACGAGTTATCACAAACTTTTATCACAAAAATAGTCGCCTTAATTAAAGGTGCGAGGAAACAGATTTCTAAAATTGGGAAACATACAAAAATAATAACATTAAATATCTTCTAATCCTTGCATAACAGTTTTTTTCTTGTTAAATGAATCAGGTGGAGGAACCTGCATATTTGCTGTTGTCTTTGTCATTTTCTGTAGAATCTGTTGAACAGTATTTACGTCCTTCTTTGATGGGGAAGACGTAATTTCGAAAGAACATGGAGATTGTGATTGTAAATGAGGCTGTACTTGTGCTTGCTTTTGTTGTTTTTGTGGATGAAAAAACATTTCTGGAGACTCAGACGAAACAGATTCAGCTGTATCATTACCTACAAATAGATACCAGATTCATTGTTATACATGTACATTATTTTATACTCATAAATACATAGATACACACTAGATGATCTGTAGAAATCTATTGGTATTTTCTTTGCAATGGATGTCTTTGTTACTACATTCTCACAGTAACCTACAGACGCCTTGACATTTTCTGGTACAACCAATTTAAACTGCGTAGGTGACACTCATTTGACTTTAGTTTAGGTACTGTCTTTATATAATTGCTGCTAGTTCTGTAAAT